TACCGATCCAACCACTGGGCAGCGAGCAAAATTTCCTATAGGTGGGTCCCGAGTTTGGGAACTTGTATTGGATGAGTCGTAGCCCAGACAAACTTTGGGAACCACTGAGCTATAGCATACTAAGTGCTGATTTTACCATCGTCGGATAACTTTTAACTGAAGAATAAGTTTGGCACATTGACAGTTTCAGTATGCCAGCCCTAAGTTGTGTCGTACGACTGTGTTGTTTTTCATTCAATAAGGGTTTGGTGTTTTTAAATCAACAAGCGGTTATAACATCACCACTTAATATAATGTTAGTTTAAATATACTTTATCGATTTCAGACTTTGATCTCGTGAAAAACTGCTGACATTTTGTTGAGATTTTTAAAACTTGTTTGTGAAATGTTACGTTAAATTTCTGTAAATAGCTGATATTCTAAAAAATTATTAAGTTTTAAATTATTCTCGATGAATCTTACGATGTTGATGTCATATTACCTATATTGATTGAATGTAGATCTGAAGTATCAAACCTGTCTATGAAAATTGTGATTGTAAGTGTTCGGGAAAATAAGCATGTGTGGAAGACACATACTTAAAATCTAAACAACGAACGTAACTAGTCACATGTATTAAAGCCTTTGACCAAATTAGTACTCTGTTAATTAATTTTAATTAATCTTTTATTACGACTTTAGTTCACCTAACTTACCTACATACCTAACTTAAATTAATATTCATACACAAAAACCTAACTTACTAATGGAGGTCTTTACGACAACGCTTAAAAATACAAAATGTTAAATTAATATTAAGGTGAAAAAATTAAAATTAAAAACGATTTCTAACATTAGCATTGAAGGTGTTTATTTTACTAACTACAATATGAACTGTGAAGTTGTTCGAAATAAACACCTTATAGATTTACTTACTTTTCCTAACAAATTTTTACTCTTCAAATATCACTTTCGATTGTCATTTAATTAAATAGTAATGGAAGTAATAATATTTTTACAGAAGAAATTTTTATGTATTTATTTACATACGCCTAAATAATTGACTTATGGAGCGCTACACACGAACTACAAATTGTCTCAATCTTAAATTTTGATTTGTTAGAAATATCATACGATTAAAATGTTTAAAGATTATTGAATTGTATTTCGATTTGGTAAATTGATTTTTATTTTATATGGGTAAGTACTTGAAATGTTTTTTTCAAAAGCGGTTTGTTGATTTTGTGATAAAAAGAAATGTTTGTTGGTAAATTTTTGTAAAATTGTATTAAAACAGAGAAAGCACAATAATAGCAAAGCAGTTCGCTTTTGAACGTGAAAACAACACTATGGTGTGTTCTAAGCTAGTTTGTTCAGGTACCCCATACGCGCGTTATTCTTTTATTAAATTATGCAACTTTAATGACGCGGAAAATCAGTTTTAAAACATGATTTGATACACTGTAATATTGCGATTAAATAAATGATTAATTATTTTTAAATAACCAAGTCACTGCTTTAGATGGCATGTTTTTCCCGATTGGTATCATGCTCCTATACCTATACCATATCCCACATTCTCAAAACGGTTCTTTGTCACATTTTCAAGACAATACCTGTTGCCTTCTTCTTCTCTCTCTTCCCTTTTCTTCCCACTCTTCCCTTTTCCTCCCTCTCTTCCCTCTTCTTCCCTCTTCTTCCCTCTTCTTCCCTCTTCTCCCTTCTTTTTCCTTCTTCTTCCTTCTGGAGCTAGGCTGGCCGATGTCAGGCACCCAGAGGTCTGACGCGTTACAACCGGACAATGAACATGACTTATTGTCTGGTCTAACACTGCCAGAACTCCAGGCGCAGCGAATCTTCGGAGATCTTCGATCTTCTACACCTGGGGTTGTGGTCTCAGCTTCAAAGGTCAAGGCTTCCCCATAAATCATCCCATTGGTCTTAATTAAAAGATCTTTAAGGCCGCTCTATAGACCACTCCATTGGTCTTCAAAGTCTGGCTGAATTTGAATTTGCTTCTGACGCCTTAGGTAGTTTAATAGACACTAGGTATGACATAATGTTTATTTTTTTTTTACGATTTACCTAACAATACCAATTGCTCGGAGACAAAGTAAATGAATCCCCGAAGCTAACGCCATTTTCCAGTTAGAATTTCCCCATTGTACTTACTTACATTATGTATTTCTTAAATAATTTAAGGAGAAAGATATTAGCAAGTAGAACACACAATAAGTAAGGACCTGGTTATATGCTTACTTATGTTATGTATTGGTTCAAAGTATGAAATCTTTGAGATATCATGAACTCAATAAAAACTTTTATTTGTTAAATTATTTGCTATTATTGTGTTTTCTCAAGTTTGCTGATAAATAATGTTTCTGATTACTTGCATATGAATTCCTACTGTAATTTTTATTTGACTATTGGGAAGTCTTTTTCTTTTTCATCTAATTTATTTATATTATATTTTTCTAATCTAATTCTACCCGCTTTATTATTTACCGAAGTATTAATATTTCATAAACTAATCAAATATCACATTTTTTTTTGACGAGAATAGATCGTAACTTATAACTTTGACCGTTTAGTCTTTTAGAGCATCGCAACAAAACAAAACAAAAACACTACAAAGCCTAATTAAAATACAATAAAGTGATGATTCTAAGTTTAGTAATGGGTGAAGAGTTTACTAATGACGCACAGCCGGTGATGAACTTAGAGTAGAAACTCATTCTTAAACATAATAATATTAAAGGATTAATCTAATTCTTTTCCAATTTCCATCCGCCTGTTATTACAGTACTTCAGGTGCATTTCAACCTTATTCCAACTCATTAAGTTATATTATGTATATTTTTAGGCTTCAAATAATGTTTAACAGAAAAAACAAAACTGCTTAAGTTACTACTTGACTGCAGAAAGGTCTAGAAATACTGAAGAAGCAATAGCACTCCATTAAGATTAGATTTTTGGAGCTTAAAGAGCTTTTTTAACAATGTTGTAAGTTCCTATGCTCGAAAATGTACTTTCGTCAACTAGTATGTTAAACTACGAGTGTCGTATTCCTACCAGTTTTTGAGACACAGGATCCGTCAATTTGAATTGGACTTTTTCAAATTCTTTATAAGTATGGCCCTATGGCACCTTTCAAATCACAAACGCCCCAAATAATATATGTATAGGCCAGCTATTAAAATATGTAAGGAAACGTTTTATTTTAATCAAATCATCTGCAAACACTTACCTTATATACCTAAATATTTCTAAGAAAAAAGCAAACAAGGCAGGAATTTCCGCAATCGCACCTGATGTTAAGTAAGACGCAGTGTTATCTAGGATGGTACAATAATATAAAATAGTGGTAAAATTTTCAAGTTGTCCGAGTGTGAAAAGTTTAGTGGAAACTAAGACATCCTACATATTTAATGCCTACCTACTTCACACCTACATAATTTAAAGTTTATTTAATGTACAGTCACGGAATGAAAAGGTTCGTCAGTTTTCAAATTGATTCCTTCAACGAATCGCGAGCACATATTACCTTTTGAAACTATGTTACAGAATAATCTCGAGTTAGAGAAAATAATCTTTAACTGTTCATCAGTTAAGTTCAAAATTATTCAGATCAACGTTGTTTGACGATTTAACTTGTCAAGAAGACTATTATCTATACTTATAATAAATCTGTAGAGAGGTCAATTCTGTACATGAAATATATTTTCAAAATAACTATCAGGGGGTGATTAGTGATCGATACTGATGCCAAAAATGCAATCAGTAAAATTTTTGTCTGTCTGTCTGTCTGTCTGTCTGTCTGTCTGTCTGTATGTTCCTTATAGAAACAAAAACTACTCAACGGATTTTAACGAAACTTGGTACAATTATTCTTTATACTCCTGGGCAGGTTATAGGATACTTAGGAATTCCCACGGGAACGGGAATTAGCGGGAAAGTCTTTTTGTATGAAAAATCTAAACCGCTTAAGTTAGACGCTTGAAATTTGGCATGCAGGTACCTTAGTAAACTTAAAGCTTAGTTGCAACAGGATATTGCAAAATTCTTACGGGAACGGGAGTTAGCGGGAAAAAACATTTGTATGAAAAATCTAAACCGCTTTAGTTAGACGCTTGAAATTTGGCATGCAGGTACCTTAGTAAACTTAAAGCTTAGTTACAACAGGATATTGCAAAATTCCCAAGGGAACGGGAGTTAGCGGGACAAAACATTTGTATGAAAAAATCTAAACCGCGTAAGATAGACGCTTGAAATTTGGCATGCAGGTACCTTAGTAAATTTAAAGCTTAGTTACAACAGGATATTGCAAAATTCCCACGGGAACGGGAGTTAGCGGGAAAAAACATTTGTATGAAAAAATCTGAACTGCGTAAGATAGATGAAGGGGGGGTAAAACGAGATCCACGCGTACGAAGTCGCGGGCGGCCGCTAGTGATTCATAAACTAAAACCTTCTTGTTGGTTCAACCTGCCATTATCTATTAAATAAAAAAACTTCATTTTGTAACTTTGCACTGATGGGATAGAAAAATAAACAAGCAAAACCTTATTCGTTAGCAAACGTCATATTTATTTAAATGTTAGCAGCAATGTTTCTTGCACTGTTATGTTGGCAGGTTTGACTCTTACAGTGCAAGCGAAAACCGACACTAAGGTGACGAACCTTTTCATTCCGCGACTGTACATACTAGCTGTTTCTTTATCTACCTATTTATATTCATACTGTACATAGGTATATTTAATCATGTTATTTACTATGAGACAGCAAAGATGTAGAATAATAAATTGATGCCATATTATTTACAGTAATAACTATGGCAATAATACAATCATATTAATACTGGAAGTTATACTGATTAAGGCTAACACTCATAATTAAAAACTACAATGAAAAACTGCGATTTTAGACAGTTTCGTGGCTTTCTGTTGCCGATATTTTAGCATTATTATGCATTAAGTACATCTCAAGTCCTTAAAAGTAGTTTAATTACTGTAACTATTACGATATTACATTCACAATTCTAGACACGAATATGTCGTGTCACTGCTAAGAAATTACACACAAACATCTGAAATGAGCACAAAATGTACTAAACTACTCCACCTACTTGGTGCTGGTACTGGCCACGAAATGATGGATGGCAGCGGCGACTTACCGCTCCGTCTGCCGGCTGCGAGCAACTATAACAAAATGGCTTCATCAGTAAATGTCAGAGCAGAAATAAATACTTACTTAATTGGACTGCCAAAAATACTTTTAACTGGTCTTTTGACTGGCTTGGACTTTATTTATCAATAAAACGTTGCTTGGCTTGGCGTTGGCTGGTCTATTAAGAAGACGTTGGATGCAGGCCGCCACCAACCGGCCATTGCGGAAATCATTAGGGGAGGCCTATGTTCAGCAGTGGATGTCCTATGGCTTAAATTATGATGATGAATAAGACTTTAAGCTGTGTGAACTTTACCATATTAGTTACTTACCACATATGTTAAAAACATTACTTTTACATAATTAAATATTATTAATTAATGTATTATCTGACTTATAAAATAAATAAATTCAAGTCAAATGTGTGTCTTACCTTTGACAACTACAACTTCGTTTATTTTCTTGAAACCGAATGCTACGTAGAATCGGAAGCACGTAGTGTTGTTGCTGAAAAATAAACACTTTTTAATTGTTTGTCTAACGTATTATTTTAAAATTTTCAAACATTTTTCACGGTGTACTTTTTTCATATTTTATAAGTAGGTAAAACGTATTTAAAATTGATATAATTAAAAGGAAAAGATTGTCTCGTACCTTATAAAGCCTTTATTTTCTTGAACTATGTACGTATATTGTCCCCCAGTGAGTATTGTCCTTCAGTCGCAACAATAAATTCTGCAACAAAAACAATTTTTACTTTTTACCAATTACTCTAAAATTAAAACTGTATTAATTTATTCATATTAGTTACTATTGAATTACCTTCTACTAAATTTTCAGGTAGCTCTGTAGCAGTCCAGTCTTATTTCTTTGTATTACTTATTTATTATGTTTATTATTACTATGTATATGGTTATTAATTTCTTCTTCAACAGTTAATGGAGTTCAAAAAATATTTACTAATTACTTATTGTACTTATGTGTCTCATTGTTTTTCTTATATTATCTAAAATAATTATTATATTTAGTCCAATAATAATATGATGTATTAAAACACTTATTAAATCGGTATGTACACTAATGTCTTCAGTAGTTTCTGAAACAAAAAAGTTTAGATAAGTGAACATGAACTTGGTGTTTTATAATTGAAAACATTAAAAAAATATTGCGTGTAAAATACTTTACCTCAGAAAACTATAAGTCTACTGTTATTGACGTTTCCTGTAACGTTCGATCTTTAACATCCGGATGCATGGTGCGCAGGAGCAACCCGGCACTGGCCATCGACCGTGATGCAGCGCCTCGGGCCTCTGTGGCCAGTTCTGGCTGATGGGGGCCTGGTGCTGGCCGCCTTGATGCATCGCAATCGACGGCATGCGCGAGTTCGGCCATTGCTGGCCCATATGACCACGCTGGAACATCTGGCTGTTATTAGGCGTGCTAGTGGCTGGCATGTTATTCGCAGCCATGTTATTCCCAGCCATATTATTCGCCGCGGCCATAATATTTGCTGCGATATTATTCGCTGCAATATTATTTGTTGCTATATTTTTATTTGCTGCCATAATATTCGCCGCAATATTATTTGGTGGCATATTATTCGCTGCCAAATTATTCAATGCCATATTATTTGCAGGCATAATATCATTCGATGGCATATTAGTAACTGTCATGTTACTGGCTGCCATGTGGCTGGCTACAATATTATTGGTAGCAATATTACTTGGCCAGTCAGATGTGCTGTTGCGACGGGTATATACTTGTTTCCTCGAATATGTCTTAGGCGCAGGTTGAGGACGTTCGATCCTCGTATTGCGCAAATTAGTCTCGTTTTGCTCAATTCGTGGTCTCTTCGGGGCTGGCTCTTCTCTGTCTGGTTCAGGGATGTCGTTTGTGTAAGAGTTTACCGCGGCTGGGGGTGGCATTTGATGATATTGTTGTGAGTGTATCATAGATTGGTGAAGCAGTGGTGGTTGTATTTGTTGGTGATGCGGTGGTGATTCCATTTGTTGATTCAGCTGCGGCTCTTGTGGTTGCTGCTGCGGCGGTGACGTCCGCAGCGGTTGCTGCGGCTGGTTAGGCATATGGTGCAACCCCTGAACATATCTTTGTTCCTGTTCTTGCTGTTGTAACAATTGTTGATGTTGTTTTTGCAACATCATTAAGTGATTTCCAGAAGACAAATCCAAAGTATTCATATTCTCAGTATTCGAATATTGTTGTAAGTTTGGATATGGTAAGAACCTGTGGTTTCCCAATTCATTTCTACCGAACAATTCCATTCGATCAAAATGCGTCGACGGGGGATAATACAGTGTATGTGGGGACACATACTCGTGCCCTGGTCCTGGATTAAAAACAGACTTCGGCCTCGGGCAAAAAATGTCTTGTTCATTCTCTGTGACCTTTTTGACTAAGGGTATGGGAGTTTCCGGTGATCCGTCGTGTCCTCTGTCAGGGGCCGACGGCAAAAGTGTTTGCAAGTGGTATTTTAATACCGACCCGCTAGAACCAGGTACAGACGATGGATCTGTTCGTACAGGTTTATTCTGTGATACCGGTTCATCAAACGGTTGCTGCTGTGTTGATGGTAGTTGCTCATGTATAATGTCATTGTATTCAATTGGTGGTATCATCCGACTTTCTGTGATCTGTACTGTCTCTTTTCTGCTGACTGGTGGTGACTGGTTACTGCTGTCCATTTGTGAAGTCGAATCTTGAGATGTATTCGATTCCTGAGCCCATCTGTTTAAGATGAAGGTCTTTGGATTTACATCCATGGAACGTGAACTTGACAAGTCCATATCTCTTCTTTGGGGTAAACTTGCTGTGATATTTGGCACGTTACTTTTTACTGGTGCTTCTGTACGAGCGTGGCAATTCCCAGATATGTCGGTGTTAATCCCGATCTCTTTTACTGATATAATGGAGTTAGGTCTATATCTTTGTCTACTCGAACTTTCTGTCACGGTATTACGAGCAGTTTTAGGAGGCCTTTTGTAGTTTTTGTGCAGTGCCTCAAGTATCGATTGGTCTACACACGAGGCACTGATATATTTATTCTTTTCTGGCGACTCTGGCGGGTCTTCGTCGTCGCTGTCGCTGTCTATTAAGATAGGCTCTGTTTCCACAGTGTACTTCTTCGCACTGTAGTTGTACACCACGCCATAACAAAGGGTGCATAACCGCAAAATGCTAATTTTATATGTCCTTATAAAATATAACATGTGCTCTTCAACATCCGAAAGGTAAATAGATTGTTCTGTTTGTACCGTTTTATTGGAGCAAGTAATCTCTTCATGGCTTCTCATATAAGTCATAGTTATTAATTAATTAATACTAATGTTTTGTTAACCTGAAACAAAGAAAAAAATCTAAAATTATGAATTTGAGTTATTATAAATTTTGTTATTATTAAGTAACGTAAAAAATTATTAATTGACACTGATTGCCTCAGATGGGATCTGCACCTACCTACAACATTACGTGACTGAGCCCTTTCTAGCTAGCTTTATTTATTTATGATCACATAAAGAAACAATACCTAATACTGCCTCCTAGAACGTTCAAATACAATATGGTGCCATAAATTCATTAATATCGTCAAACAAAGAAAAAGTTGATAATTGAGTTCCTACTTAAGTAAATCAGCTCAAATGAGTCGTTTTTTTTTTATTTCAAAATTATCAGGATTAAAAATAAATAATTAATTATCTAAAAACTGTATAATAACATATTTCAACTATTCGATTGTTACAATTAACCAAAAATGTAGTAGGCATTTAGTGTACTTAGGTAACTCCATTTATTTAACTTTTTAAAATCTAAATGAAATAATTAAAAAAATCTCAGCACGTAAAGCTTTATAAAATTAAGAGGAACTAGTTTTCTATTAACTACGAATATTATGTTAATGTTCCAATACGAGTTTCTTGAAAGACAAGTAAAAGTGAGCTCGCCTGGCTTGCCCAAGGAATCTGTAGGCGCACGAGTACCCCACCTAGCCCAAGCTATTCTGGGAGGTCAAGCTCGATTGACCTACGCAAGTGACTTGCGTGCGCATGTTGAATTAAACCCTAGCCTGGGAGACCAAGCTTACTTCGCCGACGTAAGTTTACAGTGCGCGCATTTCGTACGATAAAAAATCAATAATCAAAATGGCCGACATCAACTAGGTAACCCACGCCACTCAAAGCGTCTTGTATAACGAAACCCCACCCCACCCCAGCCTGGGAGGCCGAGCTTGCTTGGCTCACGCAAATATACTGCGCGCGCATATTGTACGATGAAAAATCAATAATGACCGACATCAACTAGGTACCCCCCCTCCTTGTATTTAACAAAACCCCACCCAACCCCAGCCTGGGAGGCCGAGCTTGCTTGGCTCTCGCAAGTACACTGCGCGCGCATATTGTACGATGAAAAATCAATAATGGCTGACATCAACTAGGTACCCCACCCCACTCAAAGCATCGTGTATAACGAAGCCCCACCCCACCCTAGCCTGGGAGGCCGAGCTTGCTTGGCTCACGCAAGTACACTGCGCGCTCATTTTGTGCAATGAATCAATGATGATCAATGGCAACTACCATATTAACCAAAGCGAAAAAAATTCTAAGATGGCCGACCCCAAAACTCTAAAAACATTTGAAGGTTTTATTAATATTTATCACTAACTATTGTATTGTTATAAAATACTTGGCCTGCGTATACAATCTTTTAATTGAAATCTACCACGATTAAAAAAGTGACAATAATATTTATCTATACCGATGTTTGCTGAATTTCACCTAATAGGAGTTCACTTTTAATTAATTAATAACTTCTATAGTCTTAAAATTGTATTGAAAGACGAGTAATCGTACTCGAGTCTGAGCGCAAACTGCCAGCTTACCTCGCGGCACTAGCCCGGGCAAGGCCTAGCTCACTTGGCTTTACAAAGAGACTGCGCGCGCATCACGATGAAAAATCGATAATGACTGCGTCATCTACCCTGAATCCTGACCAAAGTGGACCTGACAGAGTATGTTGACTTCACTACATTTTAAATAAATATTAAAACTTAGTTTGCGTCTTGAAATAAACCGCGGAAAAAAAATACAGCCTTTACTTACACAAAGATCCTCACTGAATTCACCTCAGGACCGACCACCATAACCATGTTTCGATTACAAATTTTAACAAAGTAGGTACCTCTGCTTTTATTACAAGTTGGTAAAAGACGAGTAGTCGTACTCGAGTCTGAGCAAGAACTGGCTAGCTCACCTCGCTGCTCTAACCCGGGGCCCGCGCACCGAGCTCACTTGGCTCACCCAAGGTTAATGCGCGCGCATCATACAGATGAAAAATTATTAACTGTATCCGATGTTACGGAATGAAAATGGAGGCTCCAAGATGGCCGTCTATTGAAAGCTATCAAAAATATTCTGTATTTAATGCAAGTATTAAATGAAATCCAAGTTTACTTACATAAAATGACTCACTGAATTTAAAAAGAGAAACTACATTCTTCAAAATAATTTAAATCTGAATATGAACGTTCACTTTTAAAATTCTAACACTGTATCAATTTTATGGCCTATTATTAAAGTGTAGAGACAAGTAGTCGTACTCGAGTCTGAGCAAGAACTGGCTAGCTCACCTCGCTGCTCTAACCCGGGGCCCGGGCACCGAGCTCACTTGGCTCACCCAAGGTTAATGCGCGCGCATCATGCAGATGAAAAATTATTAACATCCGATGTTATGGAATGAAAATGGGGGCTCCAAGATGGCTGCCTCTTGAAAGCTATCTACAATATTCTGTATTTATTTGATGCCAGTATTAAATTAAATCCAAGTTTACTTACCTACATAAAAGGGCTCACTGAATTTAGATAAAAGAAACCGCATTCTTCAAAATAATTTAGAATATGAACGTTCACTTTTAAAATTCTAACACTGTATCTATTTTTTGGCCTACTATTAAAGTGTATTAAAAGACAAGTAGTCGTACTCGAGTCTGAGCAAGAACTGGCTAGCTCACCCCGCTGCGCTAACCCGGGGCCCGGGCACCGAGCTCACTTGGCTCACCCAAGGTAAATGCGCGCGCATCATGCAGATATCTGATGTTACTAACGTAACCAAATTGGAATAAACGTCCATTGAAAGCTATCAAAAATATTCTGTATTTAATGCAAGTATTAAATGAAATCCAAGTTTACTTACATAAAAGGGCTCACTGAATTTAGATAAAAGAAACCGCATTCTTCAAAATAATTTTAAATCTAAATAAATGAACGTTCACTTTTAAAATTCTAACACTGTATCTATTTTATGGCCTGTTATTAAAGTGTAAAGACAAGTAGTCGTACTCGAGTTTGAGCAAGAACTGGCTAGCTCACCCCGCTGCGCTAACCCGGGGGCCCGGGCACCGAGCTCACTTGGCTCACCCAAGGTTATTGCGCGCGCATCATGCAGATGAAAAATTAATAACATCCGATGTCGACTAGCGTAACCAAAGTGAAATGAAAATGAAGGCTCCAAGATGGCCGCCTATTGAAAGCTTCAGAAATATTTTGTATTTATTTGATGCCAGTATTAAATTAAATCCAAGTTTACTTACTTAAAAGAGCTCACTGAATTTAGATAAAGAACACTGAATTTATGTTTAAGTCAATTATTATAAAAGTGTACTAAAACACAAGTGGTCCCATTCAGGTCTGACCGAAAACTGCTGGGCATTCGGCCGCGTTAGCCTGGGAATCGAGCTTGCTTGGCTTGCCCAAGGTTATTGCGCGCGCATAACACGATGAAAAATCAATAATGACATATTATTTTTATCTACCATTACCAAAGTGGTCTGAAAATGGGGCCTACAAGATGGCCACCCTTTGAAAGTAATCAACAATAATTTATGTTGTATCCAGCTTAGTCCGCAAAGCTTGCCTGGGAGACCAAGCTTACTTGGCTACCGACAAGTGTACTGCGCGCCCATGTTGTACAAAATCGATAATGGCTGACACCAATGACCAAACTACCCCTACCAAAGTCTACAGAAATCATGACTTGAAGTCAGATGAATTCATTTAAAAATAAGAACAGTATTTACTTACATATAAGGATCCGCTGATTGAAAATCTGTTTAACTACTTTTCAAATATTATTTTCAATGTAAGGTTACCAGACGAGTGTCCGTACTCGAGTCTGAACGCGGACTGCGGGCGCTAGCCCGGGCGTAGCTTAGCTCGCCTTGCGTGCCCAAGGTTATTTGCGTGCGCATATCGTGTGATGAAATCAATAATGACTGATATCCATGTAGCACCAAGGATATAACGATTTTACGATAAAATTAATCATTTTAGACCTTATTTCAAGAACAACTCTACTTGTAATTTTAAAATTTCAGATTATTAAATCGAACGCACATTAAAATATATCTGAAACAATGACGTGAAAATTGCGTTGAAATATTTTTAAATAATTACTTAACTAGAAATTAAAGTCATTATAATGATTTGATATGGTAACTCGGCTACTAAACAGTACTGAGTAACGCTAGCCCGGGGAACGCAAGCTAACTTTACTTACTGGGCGTGAAACTCTTTGTTGTCACAAGTTTTTAAACTTTTACTAATAAAATGTGAATCGTAAAACATTTTTTTGAGCTTACATTGCAAACGCTGGCTGAAGTCTATGATTTAGTGTCAGCAATGCACCCGTGCGAAGTCGCTTTTCAAAAGAGCAGACGGCTGCTCTCCGTACCGACCTATGTCCCACTGAGTGAGCCCTAGAAATCTGGGCCCAGAGCCCTGGACCAGGTGACGTCAATGGCTCGCTGGGCGGGGTCTAGCCCGGGAAAGGCGTGGCACACCCTCCTTAGATTTACGACTCGAACTGCCACGCCTGTTTTAATAAATAAATTAATTTGTTTATTTTATTGTTCTTTGCCGAGAATTCTTGCCGGCTACTGAATTTTCAGAATTCTGGTGGATTGGATGGATTTGTTGAAATATGTTTTTGATACAGTAGGTGAAGGAGTAAATACATTTTTTTTACTTAATTGGATGTTTACTTAAAAAATGCCAAAAAGTTCTTAATTTCCCATTTTTTTGTTTCATCTTAATGTGGCGTGCATTCATAGTAATTTAGGTATATTTTTTATATTTTTACCACTGCATTTTTAATTTTTTGTAAATTTTATTGGCTTTTTTAAATAATTTTATTTTTGTTTTTCGGTATTTTCATTAAACATAGACCTGAATACAACCAACAATTCGTTACTATTTTTAACAATATCAAATATTTTAGGCTTGCGAATTTTGTGTAATTTTTACCAATGATA